TCTTTTAAGTTCTGAAAACTATCAGTTTTTTGTTGTCAGAATAGCGCTCCACTGCCTTAGTAACCAAGTGGATAATGTTCTGGCATGGGAAATAATCGTTGGCTGGAATGCAGATGTGTCCGGCTGACGAGTCCCAAGTAGGAAGAAATATGAGTTCTGGATTCTACTGCTGGTCATCACCAAGTAAATTACATCATAGTACTTTAAGTTTGGGTTCTCATTGTGAGTTCTAAGCAACTGCCTATGGTCACAAAAATCGCTACAATATTTAAATTACTCTTCTCTTTTACGATGAAAGTAGTGTATCGCTCCTGATCGTCTTAGCAGCTGTAGGATCTTTCCTTTTGAGGCGCAGGTTCTCACGGGTATGTGTTCGTTTCGGAAAGAATAAAGATGGAATATCGTCTGCTGAACTTCAGCCTGTTACATATTACATTTGACGTCCACTGGTAAAAACAACCAGCCTAAGAGAATGACTTTTATGTGAACGACGGATCTTAATGTGCATGTGTGTCGCACTGTTTTAGGTGTTGATTCTAGCACATGCTAGCAAACTCATATGAGCTGACCATAATATCAATAGCAAATAGTGGTACAAATTCGACTGATGATATAAATACAAGGTTGTACTCGTGATTAATATTTCGTGAAATAATGTGACCTATGTCATGAATTCAAACAACTGGTAAGATATAAAAAGCACTATTCTCCTTTACTTGTCAACCAATCAACTCTGTATTAATACAGTCGAGTGAAAATGAAATTTTAGAACAAGCAATGAACACTTTTCATTTTCAGATATAAACCAGCTAAAGTTCATGCATAAACTGACAACACCTTATTTGGATAAAGTAGGACTAGATTATGAATAAAGATGTCATAATCCCTATAATTCAGTCTACAAAGCATTTGTCAACCGGAATTTCAAAGATCTTACTGAAAGTAAACAGCTTAGTAAAGAAACAAATTATAATGTTTGTACCTGGGACTGGTCGTCTATACATCAACACATCAGTGCTATCTCGTCGCGTCTTTCAAGTTCAAAAGTAGATTGTTCCACTAACCTCAGGAAGAAACATGTGTTCATGTATTCCAAATCACTAAACTCTTGGTATAGCTTGGGAACAGATAACACTCCAAGTCCCCTTTTCAAGAAATGTGTCTATATATTATACCAGCAAATAGCAAACACTTTTCGTGAATTGTTTTAGACTACAGCTATGCCTTCTGCCTGGCGGAAAATCAAAATAAACCCAACATCTAAGTGCATATCTTCTGGAGTGTGTTTGTAGCTTTGGCCAATCGCAGTAACCTCTCTGTTCCTAATGAAAAACAAATGGAGAAGCTGTTGTTATTTGTGCTTGGACTGAGATATGTTGATTACACATACGTAGTTTTAAAACGTAACTTATACCAATCATCCTTAGATCAGCTGAACTTGAGACCTCACAGTATCAAGTTCAGCTCAGAAAAAGAAACGGATAAGGGGAAACTACCTTTCCTTGATTGTCTTGCTGAGCACAAACAAAGTGGACATTCAGGTATAACCATTTTCAGGAAAGCAATGCGTTCGTACAAATATTTAGATTTCAACTCATCACAGTCAATTAGTGAGAACGTCTCTGTTGACTCCAGTCTCTTGAGGAGAGCACACACTCTAGTAACGGATGAAAATGAAAGAGTCAAGGAATTAAAATATGTGGACAAGGTACTCAAAATGAATAAGTATCTAGTAAAATTCATTCAGAAAATAGAAAACAATATTAAATTAGTTTGCAAAACTACTCTTAAATCATGGGCCTCAACGAAAGTTATCGCCTACAGATTACACACATGGGATGAAATTAGGAGAGTGCTCAACAAATATAATATCAGAGTGTTCTACAGAATATCAAATACATTGCAGAGCACCTCAATTCATTTGAAAGACCAGAGCCCTCTACATTCACCATCTAATTGTGTTTGTGAAATAATATACTCAGGCTGTGATGCGATATACATAGGACAAACTTGCTGTGAAATCCAAATTAGGAAAAGTGAACACCAAACAGCTCCCACCCAACCCCCTAGAAACCCAGTGGAACTGAAAAAACTAGAAAACACATCAGCCATAGCTGTATATGCCATAACTTCAGGTCAAAAAGTCGATTTTGACGATATCGAAATGATTCAGAAAGGCTTTAGAAATTGTAATGAATATCTCATAGCAGAATCTCTTCACATTAAGTGGGATCATAATTGTCTAAATAGGAATGAGGGAGTAAAACGTAGTTTGACTTGATCGAACCCTCACCCCCCCCCCCCCCACATACTGACATAACAATCATACTTGCGATAAGGGCTAACAACACATGTGTACACACAAATGTCAGTCTGCAATTCATACACTCTTCACACACAACGCACTACATCTGGATGTCATCTTTATTCTTCAATTCTGACGATACAGAATAATTCATGCAGAACACTTGACAAGTTATCATATATAAGCTTGTATTGCTTTGATAAAGCTATTAGTACTAAATAGCGAAACGTCAGTTGTGACAAATTAATTTTGTTTTGACTATTTTCAGTCATCCTTTATTTTGATGACTCCAGAAAATATCTTCCACCAACCTGCTTTATAAGAAAGCTTAAAGTCTCTGGCCTAACTCATTTTCGTTATTAATTCCTGTGTTGCCTGTTCTTCTCTATTGCTCCTAGTTGTAATCTCAAGAGCCTTATCTCCATTCTAAATATTTAGATATTTCATGTGTTGGGCTTTTCCTAACGTCAACTACTGGTCTAATAGGTAATCGGCTTATGAACTTTGATAGTACTACACTTTCTGCTAGGAATATTAATCTTAGGCATTAAAGTAAACTACTTTGACTCACTCAGAGACGGCTTCATTTGGCGTACTACTGAGTACCTTGTAATGACTTTAATGTTAACTACACAGGTCAAGCTGGCCGACAGGATTAATCGGGTTAGTAGGCCTTATCCAGGTGAGTAATTTAGAGGAGAATTCAGTAACAGCTATGGGTAAGATAACACACAACCACACAATAGGATGGCACAGAGTAACAGTTCCAAAGCCTAACTTAACCAGTTGGAAGGAGTGGTCAATCAATGAATCTCCGTTCATCGATTTGACGTCTAATACTTGTGATAGGAATGATTTAACACCTAATCCAGACATACGGAAAAATCCTACTACCAATTAAAGCTGTAGAACTATGAAAATTAAGACAGGAAGTTGTATCCATATGAGCAAAAAATTGTACTCGAAGCATCATCTAGCAAATAATATTTTACAGCTATTTCATGTATGAAATCGACTAATCTAATGAGGATAGCTACCTTTCTCGATTCAAAATGTCGTATAAGCAGTAAATTGTTCTGTTTTTGTGCCATGGATGAAATATTACATGCTGAAAAACTTTGCATACTATTGCCGAAATATCTTTAATTTTCTCCGAAGATTCACTGTTGCCAAAAGAGTTTGCTGGTCTACGAAAAATAAACAACTGAGAACAAATAAATCGTCATTGAGTCTAAAATAGAAAAATGGTCTGTTGTTACGTACGTGCATATATACTGGTTACTGGTTTTCGATTGGCTAATTGGAACTCCATCCAAAACAATATTGATTTAAGCTATACCGCACTGAATCAGTTGCCTGTCTGTATCACTACAATCAGTTTATTGGCGCTCTTTCTAATGTGAATTTATTCTTAACATATCCTTCATCCCATTCAATGTTCTATCCACTAATCTGTTTATCCAGCTGTATCTTCTGTGGCTACCCCTCGCTAAATATTGCCTTTCTAATACAGACCGTGTGGCTGTTAGTTTTTTTAGAGTTTCCGCACATTCATTATTACCTTAGTGTTGGTTTTTTTCTTCCACAGCAAAACCAGTCTTTAACAAACTTGTGAAATTTTACATGTAGACTACAAACTAAATGCTGCAAAATCTGAGATCAAGCAAGTAGCTCTGTCAGGGTATGTGTGTGTATGTTTACAGTGAACCACTTAGAGCATAATTAACTTGCTTATGTGTCTATGATTACATGTCTGTCTACCAACACAGAATTTCGATGGTCACATATATATGAAAATATGTAGTTCAATGTAGAAACAAGGTATTTGACAATAATCCACACCTCCATAGTACATTTATATATTGTTTATGTAAACCAGTTATAAATGATTAAAAGCTCAGATTTTTACTTTTTTGACACGCTAATAGTCATATGAATGGTGAGTATCGTGATGAATGTATCCATTTATCCTTGATGTATGTACGTCGTCTAACGCAGAATTCACGGGCCTTTAACATCGGAATTAAACTATTTATGCATATATGCATGCATGTACTATTACTATTAAACCTCAGTCTGTCATACCTAAAAAGCATAAATGACAACAGTTACTGACTGAATAAGCAACAATAAAACTGTCTCATCTAGGTGGACGCAGACGGGCCACACTAGGCCAACAAGAAATTATCGAAATACAGACCAAGAAATGGTGTACACACCTAGCAAATGAACTGGATTACTTGTCAAATTCTGATGTGTTGAACAACAGTTTACCCCAATACTGTCCTCCACAACGTATAACTGCCGATTTGCAACCAACTATACAATCAATTACTAAAAACGGTAATAATAATCATAATTCATATTTAACTCATTGTGAGCATTGTTTCACAAACAGGTGTATGAATTTGAATTCAGCAACACACGAAATATCGCAAGACACTTTGACACTATCACATTTATCCGGGGATTCCTCTTTTCTACCTGCTTGGAAAGCATCCAATACAACTGCAGAGACTATCAAAACAGATTTGAAACAAGACTATTAATTGATCCGAACCAACAGATCTCAGCGGAAAACTTCAAGTCACTTGAACGACAACAAGTAACAAACGATTTTCCTGATTTATCCGTTGACCAAAGTGACAACTCGTATATTCACTCTTTAACTCAGGGATCATCTATTCCTCTTCTAATGGCACAGTCAATGAATTCAGCCACAGTGAAACCTGTACAAAACGCTGTAACTCCGTCTGCTATACTTCCAAAGGCTGAAGTTAGTTATCCAGCGGGATATGTTCATTCATCTCCAGTACCAGCTATGGGACCTTTCTCTTCTAAATCTGGAAATGTCACCTTGAATTACAACAGTTCAGCTAAAATGCATAAGACGGAGACTTCTGGATCTTCTATATTGTTAGATGGTCGAGCTATGAACCTGAAGAATTGGTCGGTCTAATCCAGCGGTTAAGACAGGATATACGAGCGTATACTGATCATATAAGATGGCTTGAACAAGAGTTAAGTCAAACACGAATCTCACTGAGTGCTCGAGACAGAGATATCGATAAGTTGAAGTCGGTACTGGAACAGAAGCTGAATAACAATACGGAAAAGCTACCCATCCCCTCTGTTACACCACTGTCTGATGACTCATGTCAAGCTATCAGACAAAACAAACTCAACGTAACTGGAATCCCACCTGCTTCGAGAGCAGCTGGTATACAAGATAATACTGTACAGAAGCGACCTACAGAGAAACAGCGAACAAAAAACATGGTGTTTCAGGAGAAAGTTTCACTCAACAAAGGTTATCAGGTCTTCTACACCATGATAAAGATATTTGGTAAGCTGACAGCAGTTCATTTACTTTTTTATGTATGTGAATAATTCGTTTCTGTATTGCATGATCAACAGATGTACAATTCAATCTGACACTGTTTCAAGGTAATAATCTTCATTTTCGTTTTTTATACGAAATTAATTTGAAACTACTTTCCAGCATACAGTGATATTATTGTTTTTTAAAAACTGAACATTGGGGAACGTTTAACGACTACTTCAGACTTATTTCCTATTTCCGATTCATTCCTGAGTGGAATTTATCGCACTCAGTTCTCACGGTGAACCAGTTACCTGAAAACCATTGGCTAACTAGATGCATAGTCATTCGAGATCCAGAATTACCTGATGTCGAAAGGAGATGAATTTATATCCTATATCTATTTAAAGAGAAGGCGATGAACTCCAATGAATTTATTGTATTTTGCTAAGCCTGTTGTTCTAGTTTTGCGAAAGTTTTCCAAGGGAAGCAACTGTATGAGATGTACAATATTTGGAAAAAAACCAACCAGTACTGAACAACTGTTTCTTCCTAGTGTTGCCAGGTTCTCAGTGGTTCTCCAACTCATGTCAGTCTCTGATAAATATTTCTTTGAAATAAAGGAATCTCCACAAACCACGAGCCAAATATTTATATGTAGATGCATACATACATAGATAAATATTCCAAAGTGAACTTGAATGTTCATAGTTGTGCCATATTCGTGCGTATATAATACAGAGGGTAGAACGTTCCATCATCATTTCCGGGCTGAGGTAAAAATGAATTCAATAACAGAGGAAAGTTACGTAATGCAGATGTGGGTATAGAGTAGACAAATGAAGGAGTTAATGAGATAAATATAGTTACATAATGTAGGATTTATGTTGGACAGTCAAAGCTTTATGGCAAATATAAAGACTGAACACACTATTTTTGGACACAATGATAGTTTGGACTTCTGGGAGGCCAGTGTTTCATCTATGTTCAAATGCCGTAACCTCACTCTGTTTGAGTGGCTTGATAGAATCTTTCAGAGGATATTGAAAGAGCTCTCGAATGGAGTCAAGTGACCTTGGTGTGTTTTCACTCTAAACTCTTGTTTGTATTACGTAACTTCATTTATGAATTCGGAGTATTTTGATTTCAGACTGGGATAATTCTGGAATATTCTTTCCGTTGTGTTATACATCAGAAAAATGGCAGATACTGTTAATTAGCCCTGTCCATTGAAAAACCTCACCTTGATATGCCACTATTTTTCGATAAGCGGAATACACCCATTTGATCATAGGAAAAGACAAAACATGGTTGCAGCGAAGAAAAATTTCTCTTTTCGATGAAGTCATCTACTAAGCTGTACATTCGTGAATATATGTTACAGTGGGTAGAGTGTTCCAGAATTATTTCCGGTCAGGGGGCAAAATATATTGAATGACGAAAGGAAGTTAATTAATACACATTTGTGTTTAAAGTGGGAAAATAGACAGGGGATAATGAAATTAAATGTAATTACGTAATACAGGATGAATGTATGGCAAAGTAGGAAACTGAACGAAGTGTTACGGTGATAAAATTCCGATTATGTAGTCCCGAATAACAGAACACCTCGTGAACTCAGGCCACTTAGCTCCTTTCGAGAACTCATTCAAAATCCCCTACAGGGTTCAATCAAACCACCTGAAGGGAGTAAAATCAAGGCATCTGTCTATAGCTGAAGCACTAGCCATCCAGAAGTTTAAATCAGCGTTATGCGTACAAAAAAGATACGTCCAACCTTTATCTTTGCCATGGCTATCATAAAGCTCTGTCTGCCATAGATTCATTTTGTATCAGGTAACTACATATGTATACCTTACTCATTTTTCCGCAATGTCACAGATTTAACCTGTACTACGTAATCGCAATCCTATTTTCATGGTCCCTTGTTTATTCTCATACTCTGTCATAGGTTTATCCGGGACTACATAATCGGAATTTTATCACCGTAACACTTCGTTCAGTTTCCTACTTTGCCATACATTCATCCTGTATTACGTAATTACATTTAATTTCATTATCCCCTGTCTATTTTCCCACTTTAAACACAAATGTGTATTAATTAACTTCCTTTCGTCATTCAATATATTTTGCCCCCTGACCGGAAATAATTCTGGAACACTCTACCCACTGTAACATATATTCACGAATGTACAGCTTAGTAGATGACTTCATCGAAAAGAGAAATTTTTCTTCGCTGCAACCATGTCTTGTATTTTTTGATAATTTCTCCTAGACGATTAGGACAGTGATCAGTGTTTGAGATATTGCCAACATCTGAAACAAAAGCCTTGCGTAATAAAATCAATAAATTCAATGGAACAGCTGTGAAGTTCGTTTGTTATCTGTTGGTATACACTCATGACTTTTAGAAAAACACTAACTTCGGGGAAAGAAAAACTTTGACCATTGGTCAATTGCTTCTTTCAAAATACATATAATAACGTCATTTGTTGTGACATATTAATGTTGATTGTACTGTACTGGTATTCAAGGTCATACTGCCGAATGAATGCTAGAAAAATCACTCTATTTCGGGTGGCATATCAATTAAATTTCTTCCCATATTATTTCTTAAATCTATTGAAACCATGGTATCATTGATTTACAAATCGTTGACATGAGGTGTACTCTTTTACAGAATGATGTGTCCTTTGATTAGGGCAAGAGTAAACGTGTTTTGAGAGCCTTTGCCAATGCAAAGAACAGGTGCTGACTAAGAATGATAAAAGCGTGCAATACAAGGCCAACATTCGCTAAACGAACGCTTATTAGTTGGACATCGTGGTAATTCGTGATGGTTATACTATGTAAAATAATAATAGTAAGGTTCATTCTGGTATAGATTCATGTACTGATCTATCAGTCATGCCTATTATGTGAGGGCATGTGATTCTACCATTTCCTAGACTGGAGTACATGGGTCGGGGTTCGAACTCGAGACCCATTGCCTGAAAATTGAGTATCGAAGTCGATGAGCCATATCTGTAATGCAAAGAATATCATAACATTATTGGTGGAAATGAGATTTTGAATTCACAAGTACATTTTTTGTGTGAGTATAGGTGCACAACTGACCTCAGTTTGGTCAATTCATAAATTTCTATAGAAGTTGAATGTATTTTACACAGAATCACTCTGTCGTGTCTTACGAATATTGTTTTAAAATGTTAGTGCAAAAGCTATGCAGCAAAGTTTTCTTATCACGTTTCACATTGACTATCCTTGGACAGACTAAAAGTTGTTTGACCATTGAAGAAAACTTCAAACTTGAATAATTTTTTCGTTATGTAGCCCAATGGGTAGAACAATAAGTTGATAAGTTACAGTGCTATGACTTGAGTGCTACCGCTGTTGAGGTTTTTCTCTCTTAACCTCCAGTGTCTTATTCCTACTAATAGATATGTCTATGAATTTGCCCCCAGACTGAATTTACTCTACTTACCAACTTTTCAAACAATCTAGACTACACTGGTATCCAAACCGTTGATTATCCCTTTGTTAAATGAAGTCGATAAAAGTTTGTAAACGAGACCATATATATAAAATGTACTAATTAGCCAAGTTTCAATTTATTTGTAATGATCAAGTATCTACACTTTTTTACGACAACATTCAAAGAAATGTATAAATACTTAGGCCTCGTTTGACCCTCGTTAAAACTGATATGAAGCGGTCACCAGTGAGCGACAAGCGTGGATGCCTAGTGACTGATTCATGTATAGGGAAGAACTTTCATAATAAGCGTTTTAAACCGATAGCATCATAAGGTCATCTGTCTTCTGTACTGCACTGAGTTTCAGTAACATCCGTTCACTATTCAGGCTCTTTCACCCAAATCCAGTTATCATAGTGTGAATATGGGATTTAACGACCGCGGTTGTTCCTTAGAGTTCCATTGCTGGATGTCCATCTGCCTCTGGATGCATAATTTTCAGCAACCTATGTACTGACAGGTGCATACATATACTTTTCTTGAAATATATATAACTAATTCATACAATATGCTCACATGTAATTAACCATCAAGATGTGTAAAACCGGAATAGATGTTATTCATCGTTCTGCTTCTCATCGATGTTCTCAAACACTTGTAACTAAAAAATGTGGCAACAAAAGAACATCCAATCATTGGATGACGAGTCATTCACAACAGTTAATTCTTTTGTTTACATAATCAATACTGGTCAGTAGGCATGTACGCGTATCTAAACAGTTCAGCCACTTGAGCTAAATTTAATAGATCTGATCACGAAAAATGTAATCTTAATCATTGTTTTAAACCAATTATTTCCCAAAATTAATCAGCGTGAATAATATTGACTATTTTTTGTGTTTCCTTACACTGAAAACAACAACGGTCAACTGACGTAAAGTAAGATAATAGAGAGAGTAGAAATGCAAAAACAAAATTTGAATTCCCTCGATGAACTGAAAGTCACATGATGTCAGTAAAATCATTAAATGACAATCGATAGACGAAAGTTGTTATCTTCAAAAACAAAGATGAAGAAAGGTGTTTAGGTAATTAGTGATCCAATGAAAACTATTGGTAGGAGAAAATCGACGGTGGACTTAGTGATACATAAGAAATTAGGATTGTAAACTTGGTTGGGAGATGAACAGTTAACACAGAAGTGATATTAGATATTGATTAATTAAAGATATTTTCGTCTTGAGTACTAAACAGTTTATGGAATCAGGAACAAGTCATAATTATTATCTTGTGACCGTGAAGAGTCAATGACCACCAGACATAAACATATCATCAGTTCAGAACGACTGTATGTAAATGTCGGTTTGAGCTGAATGAGGAAATGTAAACTTCCGGGTCGTAATCGATGTGACCACTGAAATTAGTGGTCGACCCAAAATCGACCTCAGTGACACACATGCACTCATACATTGTCCGAATCGTCATATCATTCCCTTCTATCGATAACTTTCTATGACTTCATTTTTATTATTTCTGTTTTTATCTTTCA